GAAATATGGTTAGAGAAAGTCTCTGATAGGGGACATTTGAACAAATATTAAGTGAGGGAGTATGTGGCTAGCTGGTGAAAAAAATATTAAGTGAGGGAGTATGTGGCTAGCTGGTGAAAAGAGTGTTCCAGGCAAAAGACCCTGAGATGAGAGCATGATTGTCCAGTTGAACAAACTGCAAGGAGGCCAGTGGGTCAGTGTTAACAGCAGAGTAAGGGAAAAGTAGAAGGAAAAAAGATGACATAGGATGGGGGAGGGGGGTGAGAGGATGCACCCCTCTCTTGTAAGGCCTTATAGCTCAAGGATGAGACATGCACTGTTCTGAATGAGATAGGAAACCAAGCCAGGGTGTCCTTGGCAAATGACATATAACTTCTGGGTCTTCGTTTTTACCATCTTAAAAATGAGTTACAAAGTTGTGAAGATCAATGATGACGTAAAAATAATTTTGAAAGAAAACATATCAATCCATTAATCCAGGTAACTCAATACATTGATTGTATTTTCTTCTCTATACATTGGCAGGCTGCATCACCTCATGCTGCTTAGACTAAGATATCCCATGAGCGAGCTAAGGGGGATTTTGTTCTTTTGTAGGCATGGGAGTGTGGTCCTGTCGAAAGGAAAAGGGTAGTTTTAGCGTGGAATTCATTTAGTCATTGAAGATCTGTAGCCGATTGCCTCTCCTCTTCAAAAGGCTGCAGCGGCGCCAAACTCGCTTTTCCAGGGTCCGCTGCAGCAGAGACACCGCCTCCTGAGCCAGTTTGCACCGAAGGTTTCGGCTTTACGCTGGTCCCCGCCTCCAACTCCCAGCATGCCGCTGGGCGTGGGGCCTGCACGTAGACTCCATTTCCCATCCTGCCTCGGGGCTCAGTCAGGACGTGCCGGCGCCTATAAGAGCCAGAGCGCTGCGGCCGGAGCCTATTGTTAGCCGGAGCCGGGGCGGTTCTGGGCGGCTGCTGCCGGGGGTGCCGGAGTTGCCGGAGCCGTCCGCCCTCTGCTGCTTGCCGGCCGACCT